AATGTTTACTTTTTCAAAAACAGACTGAGTCGATAAGATAAATGGTCTGTCAGTTTGTTACAAAGTTTTGTTTTAGAACTTTTTGTCACTGTCATATTCCATACTCACTCATGTAATTGAGGACAATGATTTCTCATTATGTTTGAATGATTATGAAAGGTCAAATATTATTCAACAATGTAAAAGGTGAAATATATCTCATGCACTATAACAAAAAAAAACATAGACCATGATTTTATGTTATGCCTTGTTAGAGGTAAAATAGTTCTTTCGTCAACAGTTCTTTTAAAGTATACAAATTATCATAAAATCATAGATATCACTGATAGAAAACTTTTTATTTTCAGCAAAATATAATCAAGTGATACTCTCATAAACTTGATTTGAAGAGAGACAACTCGAAATTTTCTTACTTATGAACTATATTCTTATACAAATGAATGTGAACACCACACTCAATACTATGTTAATAAAACAATTACATAGGTCAAAAGTAGTTATGTAACTGATAGAAATAATGAAAATGAAATAGGTCTTTTGTAGATTATGTTAAGATGTCTATGAATCTAACAAAATTCAAAGAATATGTTTTAAATTTCGTTACTTTAACATTTAGTTTTTTAAACCTTTCACCATATCATTAAAGAACAGAAAAATGACGTTCTTTTAGAACTTAAAATTCCATTGTGCAAACTTTTTAAGAAACAAAACATACGTTTAATGCACTGTCAAGAGAACTTGAACCTCATACTCAATAAATGAGCCCAACCGGTGACTGTTTGTTACATTTGTATGATTTACTTTCCTTGCATAATGTTTGTTAAATTAGTTCATCATATGTTCTTGAATTCATATGTCGTTATTTCATAGAAAAGGTATCGAATATGATTTGAAGGAAAAAAATAACTGCTTTATAGCAGAAAAAAACTTTTTTTTACTTGAAATTGAATTTGCTTTAATTGATTTTAATTTGAAGATTTAATTCATTTCTATTCCTAAAAACAGTCTTGTAAAAAAACTGACAGACGAGGTTTAAAAGTTTCATATATCTTACATATGCACTTGCCTTGTATGATTACTGTTTTGTCCGTTAATTCCTGATTTTTTTTCTTTTTTGAATTGAGATCTCAACGAACCAGCAGATGAAACTCCGTCACAAGATACTGAAAATATTGAAATAATGAACAAAAATGATCAAAATTCCAAATGAAGAGACTAATGTCTAGAAACGCTGGTGTCCACCTATTGATATATCACTCATTATATTCCAAAAAGGAACATTAAGTAATTTTCTCCTTCAACTAGGAACAGGCACTTTCAATATTTGGCAAAATTGCCACATCTATGGCAATTTATCATCATATAAGTTTGACAGAGTTTAGTCACTAGGATCCAGTAACCGTGGTTATAGTGTTTATTATCTTTTTCATTGGAAAATTGAATATTCAATCATATAATTTGCAAGAAATGATTGAATCATAATAAAAGATAAAGTACTATTCAACATAGAACAGGTTTTGATGAGATCTAGAGCATTACAATAAATAAGGCTCTATATTATGCTTTCATTTTAAAACTCACAATATATAAATAATCCATCATTTAAATTGAATTACAAATGATCAAGTTTTTCTTACATTATATATTATATTCTTATACGCATGAATGTGAAGTAGTACAACTACCATGTTTATAAAACAGTTTGATACGTCATTTTTTTATTGTAACTTTAAAAAAAAATAGTTTTACACATAGTACCATATAAATACATATTTTCAAGATTGGGTCTTGAATAAATCGAAATACCATTTCAAAAATTCTTGAGAAATAAAACATACATTTAAGGCACAGTCAAGAGGACTTGAACCTCATACTCATATAATGAGCCCAACCGGTGACTGTTTGTTACCTCTGTATATTGTTGTGTCCTTGTATAATGCTTTGAAAAATAATATTCATCAAATTATCAGTAAACTCAATAATGTAGGTATCCTTAATATATTGAATAGATCATTTTCTTTTCGAAATTATACGTTGTACATATCAATTCAACCATAAGTAGGTTCTTTCGTAACTTGTGTTATGATTTACAGTTACAACATTTTGTTTTAAAAGTTTCATTTAGTGATGCCTAATTGAATATTTATCATCATTCCAAATTCATGGTCTCTTTTTAATACGTATTCAGTTAACACACCATTTTCCGATTTAGAGTAGGTGTGTACGGTAAAAATCGTAGACAGATTCCTCAGTAAAACTACGAACAACCAAAATTGATTAATCAAACTTTTTTAGTTGCTAAAGAACAAGTCTGCAATCTCAGACTTAACTTAATCACAGCAGCATGCAAATATGATAAATATAATTGACAGTAATCAGAGAATAATATCAAACTCAATACCTGAGAAAAGAATTTAGAATACGGTTTTCATATTGAGTCCTTTTATACATTTAAAATTAAAATATAATATTATTATGTGACTGCATTGCGGTTTATTTTCTTAAGATGGGGAGCAGCAAGTCAGTTTTTTGGCTGATGTAATCATTTTTGTTCAATTCAAAATTTTACTATTTTTACTATGGTTAGGCTTATCATACATGTATATAATGAATTTCAAAATGTAGAGACAATGCATAATACTAGTTTTACTTGCATGTATATATTCTGTGGTTTGAATAAATGTTCAATATTTATTTTCCATTAATAAAAACCTTGCGCTGAATTTTTCAGACGACGATTAATGAAGGGACCACTTCTCAAGTAACCAATTTAAAATATTTCACTGTGTATTTCGAATATGTTAAAAGGTAGATATTGTTTAAATTCTCCTAATATAAATATCTTATGTTATGACTAAGTGTTATTTTCATCTATTTACAATGGATCGACAACATTCGAGTTGGAATTTTAATTCTTAGGGTATCATTGGCTCAGCACAGTAGTCAATGTTTCTGTATAGACATACTTGATAACATGTTTTTCAAAAATGCCCCGTCTATAGTGTGAGACCTCATAAAGAAAATAAAGTTTCAACTCATTTTGTCAAAGTAGACCAAAACCTTATTGGCTAATTTGCATTATTTAACTAAGCATTACTTTGCATGGTAACATCATATTATAACTTCAAATACATTCACCTTAATGTAAGATGGAAATAGATTGAACAGTTGAACGAAAAGCGCCTTGATTTGACAGACAAGGGTTAATAAAAAATAAGAACCATTTTTTTAAGACAGAAAAACAAGAGACGTGGTTTGGCGTCTTGCATGGGAAAGCTTGTAAGGGTTGCTGTAGACTTAGCAAAATAAGAAAAATGAGAAACAACCAAAGGACGGACTGAGTCGCTTGACTACATATGTATCACCTTACTTATTCTTGGAGGAACTGCTCTAGACATTTAAGAAAAGTTGGAAAATATACTAGGGTAATGAATTTGGACACATAGGAACAACATATTAGACACGGGGCCATTAAGTCAATTTGCCCGTTTTTCACAATTACGTGTATATCAAGGAAAAGTGCCACGTGTGGGAGTACTGTAAATTAATTTAAAAAAAATGATAGGTTTTTTTTTATAGTTTTTGCGAATAATTAAACTAGGTATGCAATTCTAAGAACTTGCATTCTGATATCTGATGCATAGATAGCTGTATGCAACTTTTCCTGAAATCACAATAATTACTTATTTTGTATGGCTTCAATACAGATTTTGGTGAAAATCATCTGCATTTCAACCACATTTAGGCATACGAAAATTATACAGCCAGGTTTGAAAAAAATTAAAATAAAAGTTGATGGATTAAATTTGTTAATATCTCTTTATTTTCTGAAACAATAAAAAAAATATATTTGAAAAAATCATATTATTTATAGTATATTTACTGATTAACTTTTTTCGTAATTCAACCAATAAATTAATAAAAGAATCTTTATTTGTTGAAATTTGAATTCAAGTCGTATCACTTCTGGAATCGAATTTAAATACCATGGTATGATACTCAACCCCTAACGAGAGGGATTGTGCTTGATATTCATATGATGAAGACAAACATTTTCAATCAGTTTAATTGAGGTCTGGGGATGGCATATCAGTAACTGCTAGTAGTCCCTTGTTGATTTATGTATCATTTTCATTTTGCTTAGTTACTTTTGTTACCTATTCTGACATTTGACTTGGACTTCTCTTAAACTGTGCGTATTGCTGTCTGTTTGTTTTTCTACAATGGCTAGAGGTATAGGGGAGGGTTGAGATATCACAAAATATGTTACCTCCAGCTGCACATTTGCGCCCGTCCAAAGTTTGGAATCTCGGGCCTTTGTTAGTCTTGTATGATTTTTTAACTTTAGTTCATTTATATTCATTCCTTTTCCTAATTCTTTTTTCTAACCAGTGGCTCTTACTTGCCTTTATAAATTTATTACTATAATGTATGATTTGCTATTAAATTTACATCTGTAATTACTGTCCTGGTGGTAATCAGTATTATTACATATATCAGTTAATATAATGGTGGTAATAAAGACGAAATTCACCAAAAAAGAGTCTTGAAGCAATTCTAACATTTGTAATATGAACATAATTCCATAGTTGCCTTTTTGGAGTTATATCGCTTTGATCGCCTCTTCGCTATGAATAAGCTGTCGAAATTGTGTGTGTCCAGTCAATTGAGGATCTATAATGAAAAAATATAAACAATAATATGGCTGTTCTTTATAATATATGTCCCTCCATACGCTACCATACTTATTTAGGGAATAATTTGGGATTTTCCGTAGACCTACACAATATCTCAGAAGAAATTCCACTTCATGTGTCTTTTTAGAATATTCAGAAAACTCTTTTAAGCCATATATTTAAAGAAAAATGAGGCTGATTCAGTCCAGATTTGAGCCTATAAAAGGTGTATTTATGTACGAGGGAAAATAAAACGATACGAGGTCAAATAAGCCAACAGGTCAGCACGTTCAAACAAAATGTTAACTCTGACCTTTTGTCACGTGATCATGGTCTTTACCGAAGGAGCCATTAAATCGTTTGCTGTCCAACTGTGAAAGCTAATGGTAAGTAAGCATGTATAACATAAGGGGAATTAAGTTGTCAAACTCAGTAGATCTGTTATATAAATGGTTCTTATTTATATACTGCTATTTGCATCATAAAGGTTAACAGTAATTTAAACACTTCCATCAAATTGGTGGACGCCATTTGTTGAAGATTTGTATGATGTTCGGTTTGAATCTCTTGGAATTATCGACTTTGTTTCGTTTACTGTCTCTTTATCGAACAATTCAAAACGTATGCTTACATTCACGCATACTAATAAAACTGCACACAAAAACATACAAACAACTAAACGTGTTTCAGAGACACACATGTTCTGGAGTTTCAGTTGGAGGTTGTTATTTTTCACCCACTTGAACTTAAGATATAACCCATGAAATGTGACACTTTATTATTATTCATATTCAACAAAAAAATGTTATAAACAACTTATATAGCTAGATACGAAATAAATGAAATAAGTTAGTAAAAGAATAATATGGCTGAATTTTAACATCCGGTTCATCCAAAATTAAATGCATTAGTCTCGTGATATCTCATAGTAATACTTATATTTATATTGTTATTTACATAGAAGACTGACCCGAATTCTATGTAAGACATTTAAACCGTCAGGATTAGTTCAATACCTTAGATTATTTCTCCTTTAAAGCTTTAAAAGAAATAATGTTTGATTCAAATCATTTCAAATAAAGTTCTTTTAAATTTCCAAATACGAATTATTAATAATGTGATACTACTTTTTTATTATCAAATGTATAGGATATCAACATTCAAATTCGTGTGTGTATTTGGTTTAGAATCCCATGTGTAATTCAAAGCTGAACCCTTTTGAATTTAAAAAGTATTGTTTTTAAAACAGATAAGCCTTTTTAAAATAGTGTCAAATTTCTTTTATCTTTGTTCATTACTTATCGTTTCCTTTTTGTTAAAATTATAAATACATTGTAACTTACTTTTATACAAAAAAATGTATTTAGTTGTAATGGTTTCTGATTTAAGAAAGATGTAATTCAGGACTAAGAAACAAAAAAATCAAAGTATGTTAATAAATAAAGGCAACACAGTAGTATACCGGTTTTCAAAAGTCATTAATCGATTGAGAAAACAAATCCGTAAAACCAAAAAGCACAGAAACAAACTAAAACTTTCGTTATCAAAAATCCTAACAAAACTGAAAAAGTCAAAAAGAAATATGCATACCTTATCGTTATGCGCACCCTTTGGAAATCCAAAATTAAGTACAGCGTAATTTAAAATACACTCCTATATACAATTACCTTCAAATACAAACTTCTTGAAGGAAACTTTAATCTCGAAACGGTTCGACGATCTTAATTGTATGACAAAATTATTAAATAAAGAAACACGTCACGATAGGTATATATATATATACATATATGCATAATGTATATGTAAAGATTTTGATGCGAACTTTAATGTTTTCCTTAAGCTAACAAGTGTCCATTGTATCCAAGTTTTCGTAATTTCATTGTTTACTAGTGATTTTGGAGTTGCGTGACTCTCTTGATAGGTTAACGGTCGGTTATTGTATACTTACATAGTTCCTGTAGAAATTAGATAATAATATTTCATTAATATGAATATTTCCAGTCCTCACTTGCCGCTAAAGGGAATTAAATTAAGTTATCATAACTGCTCAGAATAATGAAATGATTTGATAATTTGGTAGGTAGTGATAAAGAACATTATATACGTGCTGATAAGAAATGTAATAGGTGCCAAGGAAACGTATAAACGGTACGTTAGTTATATTCTAGTAAAAGAATATTTTGGTGCAAAATGTGGGAACATTAAAACTAAACAGAAAACATTTAAAACATACAGCCATAGTGTGTCAGTAGTTCACATTGGTACTATAGAAAAATAATATTATACAAGTATTGCTTATGACAGCATCGGCCTTAAAGAAACATGAACTTGTATGTTAAAATGTTTATTTCTTTCATGTCTATTCATATTTAGTACCAAAACGATTTTCGAATAAACAAAATCTTTCCAGGCCGATGTGTTTTTTATTGTTTTTTTTTTTTATTGTTTTTCTTTTTTTTTTTTGGCAAAGACATAAAAAGTTACTTCTCTTTTTAAACCTGAAAAATTAACTGAATAATCCGTAGAATAAATTTAAAATAAGGGTAAGAAAAATATACCAAAATTTATTGTTAAATTTATGTTGGATCTCAAACATGAAGCTTTTCATGGATATAATTGAATCCCTCAGCAATAAAGAAATACATGATACAACAGTTACTAGGACAAATCGTATACAAAGTATAGTAGCATTAGAAACCAAACACTCCAGTAGCAAATATTTTATGCATGTTCAGGACGAGAACAATTTAACAGGTTATATAATAAGTCGATCCTGAAAGACAGGTGGATAAATGGTTGATTATTTGAAATGCCACTAGAAAATGACAGTATGTTTTTTTGGGAAAATGGCGCAACCGGCCACCTACGAACCCATCAGAGAGTTCTCTAACTCGCAGAGGGCGTGGTTCTTTCTCTTCAAGGGGTGTCAAATTTAAACAGTCTCTTTTCTTTTTGACAGTGTTGCGTATTTACGCATCCCTAACAGATAAACGGATGCCATAATCTATCTTGGATGTTTTGCCGGAACTGGTGATGTCCAAGGAATGACCATATCTCATACCAAATCAATTCTTGGTGTCCATTTGTTATACAACTTAAATACTAGTAAACCTAACTATTTGATGTTTTTGGTAATATTTGTATCACGAATTACATATCAAATATATATACAGACATACTTATATATATTTTTGTATTTATTCCTAGCTTAAATTACTTTGCAGGATGAAATTTATATACCAGACCAACAAAAATCACAAGATGTACCTTCTGTCAGACGTACTCAGGGCTTGTTGATACAAACAACAAACAACCAATCTAGAAGCGCGACACGATCCGACAATAGTACACCAGAAGTCATGTTATTAGATATAAATAGTCCATTGCATGAGATTTCAGTAACCAATGATGCAGTACACCTAAAGAATTGTAGATCTCAATCTGACGACATTTTACCTCAGCGGTTTAGTTTACATATGACCGATTTAAATTATGAATTTGAAAAACTGAGACTCTATGAATAGTGTGATCGCATCTTCTAATAATGATAAAAACAACATCAGATAAAAGATGAATAATAACAACGTTCAAGTCATTTTGCAAAGACCTCTAACGGACACGAACTAAATATTATGTATTCCTGTTGATAATAATACCCTGCGCCTTTGATGAAAATTAGTTCTATATTAAATAAAATATATAACAATTTAGGAGCAAATAAATTCAAAACATGGATCGACGTTTGATGATAATGCATGTAATTTTTATTGAAATGAAGCAACTATAATGAAACTTTAATTTATTTTGGAAAGCAAACATATATTTGGACAATTGACCGAAAGTGTCTTGATTGGTTCCTTAAACATTGATAGTTAAATCTTAGATAAATGTTATTTTTCCAGAAAAGTGAACTTGTATTTGCAAATGTTCGATGGTGGTTTTTAATGCATTTAAATGGCAACATATCATTTATAAATCTAAAGAAACAGTATTTTGCATGTTATCGTGTGTCAGATAATACTTCCTCAATTAAACAGTGTAAACATGAAGAAGTAACAGAGTGTGACGTGCAATTATTATTTGTTTATATGCCATTCTATCAATTCAACAACAGTCAATAGTATAACCAACAACATTCTGATGTATTTCTTTAGTAATGTACATATTTTCAAAGCCAGGTTACACATTTCTATGTAAACTATACATGTTGTTTCCTTATTTAAGTAGTAGAAATGTTATAATGAATTGGCGTTTACTTACGAAATTATTGATTGTACATTAGTATGTTTGGTTCAAAGGAAAGTACTCAAGGCACATTCTAGGATGGTGTATGTTTGCCTGAAAAGTTTCACCTCTTCAAGATAGTGTCAAAATATTTTCAAATTTCACTTGTCAAAATAGTATAAAATGTTAATTATTGTTTTCTTACTTTTTATGCTGCTTAACTCTCACTCTTCCTGTAACATTCATATGAACAATCAAAACACACCATCTGGCTATCGTTTCACAAAAGATCGTAAATCGTACGATTTACGACTGGTCGTAGGATATGTTACCGACCAAGTTTACGAGTGTTTCACAAACGTGTCGGAATAATTATCGTACGACTTCCGATTACCGACCTCGGTTTTAACAGCTCTTTTATGTGAAGGTCGGTAAATGGATTCAACGCGCACCTGTGTTGACAGTGAATAATATCAGTTTATCGACAAAAATATGTCTCTGGTTTATTTATACAGTTCTTTAAAGTTGGACAAGCAGGTTATATAAGAATGGAAAGGTTTCAGGTAAGTATGTTGAGTATCTTTTTTGTTATATGAACCTTTCAATAATATAAAATCCGCGAAATGTGCTTCATGAAAGATTTCCGAGCAGACGACATCATTTGAAGATGGATTCTGTTGCTAGTTCATGGAAGGCCTGCCGGTGGTCGAAAGAAGAGACCTCAATCCTTATAAGTCTAGTAACAGAAAACATTGGCATAATTAAGGGGAAATTTTCACCGTCTCTTACTAATGCTGACAAAAATAAATGTTGGGATTCAATAACAGAAAGGTAAACAAAATCTTCATGTCAATCTTTTCAACCCAAGATAACTTTTTAAGAGATAAAAATAAAGGGTATAGAATAGTTGTTCCAACAGATATTATAATTATCATGATTATGGCTTTGTGTATTATTACATTTTCCAAGGGAACTTCTTTACTAGTTGGAACAATTATATGTGGGCATCACATCTACATAATATTTCTTAACTTCAATATGTTGATATTAAAATATTGAAATTGAGCATACAGCTTTACTCTATCATATGTGTACATTTTTACTTGTATGTAAAATTTTCTGTACTGGTATATTTTTGAAATGGTTTCAATTAATGAGTTATATTTTATTTTGTCATTTTTGATATGTCCTTTGAACATCAAAATATATCGTTGATGATTGCAAGTCCGTTATGCTTGTACATGTAAGTTCGTGACATTTCGTGATTTCCACTTTATTCGTGACGTCATGCATACGTATTTATCATCGGCAACGTGCTACTTCAAATAAACTTAACCGGATATTTTTCATTTCATGTTCATTAATATCGGCTTTAAAAAGAGAATTTGTGTATGTTTTTGCATATTATTTGTTTAAACGTCTATTTCCACTATTACTGATTTATTCCTCTCCTAGAATTTCATTTGATTCTTGGGAAAAATTGTAGGGAGAGTAAAGAAGTTAGTATGTCCCAAATTCTCTTTTTATCGAGATATTCATTTGTTATTTGATCTCAAATTTATTCTGTAATGTTCAAATACATAATACAATATGCCTGACCTATATATTGTTGCACATTCGCAAAATCCACCGTCCAAAACACGAACTTACAAGCATCAGGTTTACTTATTTTACTGAATCGGGTCACAATATGAAACAAAGACAGATTGACCATAATAATTACTTTATTTAATGAGACTCATTTCATGTAGCACATTCACCGATCTAGTATGCGGCCAACTTTAATAAAATGCTTCGCTGAGCGCAGCTGGATACGACCGCAGAGGTCCAACCCTGAACAGTTGGGGCAAAAATGGACACAATATTCGCGCTTGATACCGGTCTGAATTTGGATTGTAATTAAATATTTGACACATAATAGGTTTCTGACACCGAATAAATGTAGTCAAAGAACTTAGAATTGGTTATATGATTTGATTTTATATTCAATTTTTTACTTTTGACTTTGTGCAATATACTATGCTGTTGCGAAATTGACCCCCCCCCCCCCCAAAAAAAAAAATGTTTCCCCTTTTTTTTTTGCTTTTGTGAAATACACTATGCTGTTGTGTATTGCCCCCCCCCCCCCCCTTGCCCCAATAAAAATTTTGTTTTCACCTCCTCCCCCCCCTTTTCCAAAAAAATTCTTTCCCTCAAGATATGGTCATAATCTCAATTCAAATTTCCAATGGAGTTTGCAACCATATATATTTACCAATTTAAATACATCATAAAATTCTTGAAATAGAAAAAAAAATCCCCCCCTTATTTTTTGAACCCCCTTATGATTTATCACCCCCAAACTCAATCCCAGCCTTCCGTTTGTGGTATGGTACCTTGCAGTACAATTTCAGAGAGATCCATACACTTAAACACAAGTTATTGGCTGGAAACTAGAAAAATGCTTGTTTTTTGGCCCCTTTTTGGCCCCAAATTCCAACACGTTTAGGGCAATTACCCCCAAACTCAAACCCAGTTTTACCTTTGTAATATGAAATCTTGTAGTACAATTTCATAAAGATCCATACACTTACACACAAGTTATTGTCCTGAAACTAGAAAAATGCTTGTTTTTTGCACCTTTTTGGCCCCTTATTCCTAAAATTTTGAGGCAATTACCCCCACAATCCATCCCAACCTTCCCTTTATTTTTTGAACCCCCTTATGATTTATCACCCCCAAACTCAATCCCAGCCTTCCGTTTGTGGTATGGTACCTTGCAGAGAGATCCATACACTTGAACACAAGTTATTGTCTGGAAACTAGAAAAATGCTTATTTTTGGCCCCTTATTCCTAAACGTTCTGGGCAATTACTCCCAAACTCAATTCCAGTTTTCCCTTTGTGATTTGGAACCTTGTAGTACAATTTTAGAAAGATCCATACACTTACACACAAGTTATTGTCATGAAACTAGAAAAATGCTTTTTTTTTGCCCCTTTTTTGGCCCCTAATTCCTAAAATTTTGAGGCAATTACCCCCTAAATCAATCCCAGCATTCCTTTTGTGATATGGAACCTTGTGGTACAATGTCAAAGAGATCCATACACTAACACACAAGTTATTGTCTGCAAGTTACAAAAATGCTTATTTTTGGCCCCTTATTCCTTAACTGTTGGTACCATAACCCCAAAATCAATCCCAACCTTCCTTTTGTGGTATTGACGCCAACATTATACCAATATTTTTTGCGGTCGTATAAAAAGTAAAAACATAAATACATTTTTTGTTTGTTACTCTCATCATGTTGATATAAATAAGGCAGTACAATTATTCATAAAATTAACTAAATTAAAGAACCTTAGTGAGCGCGCTCACATACCCCACGTCCCCACATTGTTATTGGAGAAATAAAATAAGTTCAAAGGGGCGTAACTCCTGGAAAAAAAATTGAATCGTAATTTCCTGTCGATATGCACATCTACGTAGTATGTCCTTATCTGAAAAGGTTACATGAAAATCTGTTGCAGTAGTACATCAAAGTAAATAAGTTCAAAGGGGCGTAACTCCTAGAAAAAGAATCGTGAAATTCTGTTGTGTGGTTTGAGAGGAGTTTCGATGACAAGAAACAGGACTGCAAACGGGTCAAAAACATTATACCCTCCGCAACTCGTTGCGTGGGGTATAATAAACATGTTTCTAAATAACAAGAATAATTTTAATTGAATATAAAACATAATAGAGCAGAAAAAAAAACTAACTGAAAATTTAGTACAATAAAACTAATAATCTAATTTGTTTTAAATTGTCAGTACAAGTACATGTATTACAAAATATATAACAGTTTTTGCACACTAAATATAAACTTTTTCAAAATTTATTTAAATTAGTCAAAATTTGGGAGGAAGAAATTAGAATAATTTCAGAGTCTAAATTTAGAAAAAAAATTAAGTTTTTATAAGGCCATTGTTAGCAGGTTGAAGTTCATCTTGCTCAAATTTTTTTATTATATAAATATTAAACCAGAAGATGTGGTATGACAACTCACCAGAGACTAAATGACATCAAACGTCTACATTATTATTTTTGATAGATATATTTACTAAAAACCATTCTGCTTACTTCTGATATGAAAGCTTCTAAACTGTCCAATTTATTCTTCCAACACTTTCTATAATGCAAAATAATGAGGTGTATCTGACATTTGTTCTCTGTATAACTGTTTATTAAAATTTAAATTGAAAAGAAGTATTAGGTATTATCAGAAGTACATGTATATTTTTTTTAAAATTACACATCTTTTCAAGTGTAAATGCCTGCAACATAGAAACTAGAAATGTGACCCAAGTGAAAAAAAAATGGTTAGACATGCAAAGTGATTCCAGAAAAAAAGAGGCAAAAAGGAGAAGAGAAAGTTCAAAGACTGGAGGTGGTCCAGCCCCTCCAGAGATTGATTCAAATGATTTAAAGGTGATTATTCAATTTTTCCTTAGTTTTAAGTCTTTCATGTTTTTTCATGGTGCAAATTCCATAAACCAGTATACCTTTACTGCATCATATGATAATTAATTAAGTTTTGGAAACAAATAATCACCATTATCAATGTCACAAAGAGGCTTTATACAGTCAGTGACTATATATCAGTAATATTTAAACTGCATTTTAACTGACAAATACCAGTTTCATGTATCAAAGACAAAATATATATTTCAATCCATAAATACAAGAAGGTAAGATTTTTTGATTGATTATAAGGGTCACATGTTAAAGCTTAATAAAATATTTTTGTACACAATTTATCCATTAAAAATTTGTGTTCCATTTTTTAAATAGTCAATATCGTGCCGAAATGTTAAATTGTTATTGTATGAGAAAATGTTCCTCTTTTTAAATAAAATTACTATGACACAATAGAGAGAAAATGTCAACAATTTCCCATTTTTCAACTCGCGCATAAAATAAATAAATTAATACAACAGTGAATAGTTGAATATGGGAATCTGCAGCAATTTTTCATCCCGTTTCTTTTTTCAAATTAAAATTGTTTGTTCATCTTGCACAATAAACATGTGGGGCAAAGTAATGGTGTCTTTTGGATCACAAGTCTGCTGCCAATAATAATGCATGTATGTTAAAATTATTGTTTTTCTTTTCTTTTTGGCATGGAAAGCTCATTTTGTATCCTTATTTTCTCTTCTTCTGATTTTAAGTGTTACATCAGATGCCTCAATTTGTGGACTTGATGCAGGCTACGATTCTGTAGGTATGAAAAATATCTGTGGAATGACTGTAACATTTTTTCTGTCTATGAAGAAATAACAAAAAAATGTGGGCACACTGTATAACCCTATAACAGACATTCCTTATATTTCAATTCTAAATTCAATTTTAAGCCATTTATGGGGGTAGGAATGCCCTTTACCGTCAGGGGTCAAACTGTCATTTTGGGCTACCTTTAGCGTGAAATCATGATATGAATATGTATATTTACCTCATACAAATTTAAATAATTTTTTTTATTTCTGTTTTATTTTTTTTTATTAGCATATAGATCTATAAATAACTCAAGCCCTAAAATTTGTCCAGAAATATCATTATTCCACTCACAAGTTCCATAATTATTTGGTGACTTTTACAGTCACACATACTTAACATGTTTAAGTTAAATTAATAATGCTAATCACTTTGACACAACTACAGGGGTCGACTTCAGCACTGGCCCGCTGGCCCAAGGCCAGTAGAATTTCGATAGGGTCAGTTGAACATAAAGACTACTACTGGCCCCATTGGCCATTACATTTGACTATATTTTCACTTAGAAAGTATTATTAGGGCAAATTTTATTTGAGTTGGGCCACTAAATTTACGCTCTAACTGGCCCTAGTGGCCATACTTTTTAATTTTGTTAAGTCAACCTTTGAACTATATGCAAATTTTACATTTTTCAGCAAAGCCAAAGAAAGCAATAGTCCAGCAAGGATCACAAATTGTTCCAAGTTAGTATAACCACATCTCTTTACTTTCACATAGTAATATTAAGTTCATTCTGAATCTGCCTGGCAATGGTAATATCAAGTGTTATAAATGTTTATTGTTTGGACTGTGCCACAAAGTTCTGTTTATACAACATTAGGATATATAATACTTAATATAAAAACAACTTTTTTTCAGTAAAGCAGAGAAACTAAAAGCAATAATTTCAAAATATTTTCTATCTTAAATTTTTTATGACTATGAAGAAGTGTTTGTTCAAATTTATTGATGTAAATGCAGGAAACTAAATTTAATCAGTACATTAAAATATTTTTATATCCTGCATTTGTGTTTCAGAAAATCCAGGAACAGCTGCTGAAGCATGGGGATCAAGCGCAGATTTGCCTTTAAGAGGTTTGTGACTATTAATTTAGAAACCATAAACTGTAAGATTTGAATAAGCACCAATGCTAAATTACAGGACTTCTGCAAAAGGTATGTCCTTTGTGCATGTGTTTAAATTACATGTCAAGATACTATGTGTCTTTTTATCCTACAAATTATATATTAGACCGTTTGCCTTTCTAAGTACAAAAAACATTCTAAAGCAAAGTAATTATATTCATATATTACGGGATTACACATGTGTCGAGTTTTGTGATTGGATAACAACACAGACATGCCAGTATATATTTATGAAACTGCCAGGGTATATACGAAGTTTTCATCTCCAATTGGACCCTCAAAAATGTTACCATAACACCTGTTACTATGTGACGTAGCCAAAAGCTATACAGAACGCTAAAGAATGTCACAGGCTCACAGAGGGAAAACTGACGTGCATCCACTTCAGATACTTAAATTTAATGTTTTAAAGTATTATTATAAATTATTACATACACGATAACATTATTTTCACAGCAAATTACATAATACTTCACATATGCTGAACATATCAGGTTGGGTTTTTCAATATATGTGTTATAAAAAACAAAGCCACACACACATACAAACACAAAACATTAAATCTAAAAACTTTATTGACGGAACAAAAATGGCAGGATATAAAAGGCGCATTTAAATGGATTACTCAAAATATTAAGAAATCATTAACATGTAATGAGTATATATGCTGCATAACATATAATATTACACCTTCTTTGATTTGGGTCAGTTATGCTTATACACATGTACCTTTGTGAAATTGAATTTTGATTTGTATAGATTTTTACAAATATAGAATACCACTATGAAAAATTTTAAAAAAAATAAAGCATTACATTAAAGTAGTTAAAAAGGTTTCCATGCAGGTTTGTAGTTATGTGTATATATTGTTTATTTGCAAGTGGTGTATATTCTGATATGTTGTGCTCTGGAGAATACTATTCCATGCATGCCTATGTAATATATATGTATAGCATTATTATAAAAATGTACTTATTATTTCATTTGTAGAAACCAATGACACAGAACAGACATTGTATACTGCTGTTGCAGTAACTGGCTCTTCTGCAATAAACAAACAACCAGATAAAAAAGTTAGTCGCCAGACTAACTTGGCAAATCCTTCTAACTCAGGTATGTGCAGTTGACTTTAAATCGTTTTCTGCAATTGTACTTTATTTTTGTCTAAATAATTATTTAAACAACCAAAACATGCTTGAAATGATTTAAAATTAATTTTGTAATTTTGACACAATGTTTTTCTAACGTCATCAAAGTTTGTACCCCTCCCCCCCTTTTACCACCAAAAAAAAAGTAATTGCCAAATTTGAAAAAACTAAAGTCTCACAAAAAAATACAAAAATTTAGTGTGATTTTCAATCTTAAGACTTAACTCATTTAGCTGAAGAGATTTCTGTAAAATCAAGCATTTTTGCAGAATTTGCAAAATTTGCAAAATAAGTTGACTCCTTATACTGTAATCAATTAATATCTTTTAGTTAAATCAAGTCATCCATGTTAACTAAAGGTAAATCTGATTTGTTTGTCTTTATTAGGAATTATTAAATGGTCCGGGAACACAGTTATCGTTGTTTGATTTTCGTTGTCCACAAATATGGTCCCTAGTGTGGACAGTGTGTTACTTGCCAATTTTTTTATACCCCTTCCAAATTTATTTCTTCATGTTTTATGCCTCAAATAGCAAGTAGTGGGATAAAATTACACTGCAAAAAAAATTGGGTCATGAATTTTAAAGTAGTGATTTGGTCCAGCTGAAAAAGGTTAAAAATTAGCATTTCAGAAGCTGTCAAAAGATTTCAATACCCCCTTAACATAAAATTGTCCATATTTTGAGTTAGAGCTTATGAATTTTTCTATAATTTTGATATTTGTCCCAAAAGTAGTACAACACACTGTAAAAATATTATTGAGAAAGCACAGGTGGGATTTTTTTAATTTTCATTTATTGTCTAAAAGAAATGCACTATGAAATAACTCTGTTTTCAGGCCAAATGCAAAAGTCAAAAATGTGTGTTTTAAGTCTGCAGTAATTTCAAATTTCTGCTTTAAATATTCAAGTTTTCTACAATAAACCCATGTAATTTTGAAACTGCTATATACATGTGATATATGGTAAGATGTGTTGCATTATATGTGTTGTTAACATTGATTTTAGTCATTACTATTTTGATTGATTATACTTATTGGTAAGCTGGAGCAGTACTTAATATGAAGTAAGTATCAATCAATAAAAAAATAGCGATTTTAATGTATATGCTATATTATTTTGTTTCTGTCATGCAACTCATTCTTGAAATTTTTTTGGCAAACAGATATACATTTTGCACTTTCCTTTTATTTATAGAATAAAATGCATTTCTTCATATTGCAGATTTAATATTGGAGGTTGAAAGGGAAAAATTAGAACTGGAAAGAGAACAGTTGGTTATAGAAAAAGAAAAGATTTCTTTGAAAAAGGAAAAGTTGAAAATGCTGAAAGATGCCATGCAAATGAAAAAAAGGACTCTTCAATTGTTAGAAGAATATGTGGACTTTAAGAAATTAAAATTTACACATGACTCAGATGTTTGTGACCTTTTGCCAATTATTAAGTTTTAATATTTTTCATCAGCAAAATATATGTATGACTAAAATCTATTGTGGGTCAGATCTATGACAGATTCCTAATCTATGATAATTGTAACGTCAATGCAGTCCAATCTATGGCAGATTTTTTAGAATCTTAATCTTTTGCGTTTTTTAGTTTTCCAATCTATGACAATTTGTTAGTTTTATAATCTATGACGTAACCATTTGTGAAAATAAATAGCCTTTAGGCATGAAATAATTTGACCCGGAAGAATAAGCATTTCTTACTCATGGTGCATGGTACCTGTTTGACCCTTCTATTAACCAAGTACCTGAAAAACATGAAACGCAGGAATTTGCCATATATCTGGAACCAACAATAAATTTGAGTCATACATATATGACACGATATAGCGTTAAATTTTATGCTCTGTTTAAAATTCATTTTTATGTTGAAATTATTATCCACCAAAATTTACCATTAGTTCAAATATGAATATGTATACTTCTCAAATACATTTTCAAAAGTGAATATTTTCTTACTTTCTCTCTTTAGCATAAATAAAGGTTGCCAAATGTATCATTTTTAAGACATGAAAAAGTTTCCTCATTAATCTATCAGGTATCAACTCTGTTATTGATTTATAATTGTGGAGCATAAGATTTATCCTTATATTCAATTTTGAATGAAAGTGATATCACCACTAACCTTTATTATGTTTATAAACAATTAATATATTAAAAATTTATAAATTGAATCAATTCTGTTTCACCAAAATAGAGCATTACATTCTTATTATTTCAAATTAACTTTATACAGATAAAAAGGATAAGGAAATAATAAAGAAAAATACCACTACATCGAGCTATAAGTTTTCATAGGATGTTGTCTCCAATCATTAAAATGATAAATGACAAATAAACCAAAAATATGAAAGCTGAAAAACAATTTTAAATTGACAAAGTTGAAATTGAAACTTTAGAAAATGAAACGCAGTTTTGTCAAAAGATAGCAAAATAGCAAGATTTTATATAATGTTACAGAAAAACCATATTTTCATTCAAATTTGTTAATTGTGAATTATTGAGTGCATGCAATGAAACATAATGGTAAAAATTGACATTTCTGTTATAAAAAAATATTTGAAAAATGTTATAAATATATATTTTTGGGTAAAAACAGAATCATTTATCTGTACATCAAAAAACTTTTTTTTTTAATTTTCATGAATCATATTTTCATATAGGCATTAGTAGAAATATTTAATTAAAATTTCAGAATTCGCTAAATAATTTGTCAGCTAAGACCTATATCACACCTTGTCTTTTCAGGTCCAGTAACATACAAAACTATATCAGATGTAAAATTAGGATTCCCAGTGTTCAAATTCAGTTAAAAAAAAGTAACCTTTTTCAGTTTTATACAGTACGTTTATATAGTAATTTAATGATTTATCTGTTTGATTTTCCAAAATATTAAGTTTTTTAGGCAAATCTTTGAATAATGCGTTCTCTAAGGGTTTGAACATTAGCAGGTGCAATATCTCTAACAATATGGTTATCTCCATTGTCAATAAATTCATCTGTTAAATCTGGAAGTGGCAGTTTATCATCAATACACTTGTTGTGTAATTTAAAAACAGCTGTCACAACTAGTGCAGATCTTTCAGGTGTAAATGGTAAACATCCTCCAGTTTTATGCAAACACCTGTAATAAAAAAATATCAATATTTTTTACATTGGAAATTGTTGTGTACAAATATCAACTGACAATACTTCAGTGTATTTTGCACATAAAAAGATGAAAATTGTATCATTCTTCATATTTTATAAATAAGATGTGGTATGAATGTCAATGAGACAACTCTACATCCAAGACACAATGTAGTTATATTAAGCAATTACAGGTAACAATACAACTACCTCAATAAGGAGCCTTGGTGCACACCGAACAGCAAGCTATGGAGGGCCTCAAAATGACCAGTGTGTATTTATATGTTTTCTTTAATTAATATATTCAACCTAAGATAGTAGAGGGGCATTATGTTGTCTGGTCTACGTCCAACCATCAGCAGATCAGGTTAAATTTTTTTGGGCAGGTAGTTTGATGAAGATGAATTCACATCAACTTGATACTTAGTACACATTTTCCGTTCCTTTTGATAGGGTCTTTCTAAATTGTAAGCTAAATCATTTTTTACCCCAATGTTACAGTTCATTGAACTTAGAAATATGATAGTGTTAAAACAGTACATTTTCAGGTAAATGTTTTTGGTCAGGTAGTTTATGATGATGTAAAATTCACATTTAACAGTAACTTAGTACATATGTTCCTTATAATAAGGTCTTTCTAAATTTGTTTAATGTTTATTTAAAATACATGCAACATATATTGACAAAATGTCTAAAATTGTGATTCCTTTATTTAAAAACTAACTATTCTTTTTAAATACCTATATCGTGACTTGCACACACCAAAAGCCTGCTCCACTATGGTTCGTGTCTTGGCATGAACCTTGTTGTATTTCTCCTCTGCAGGAGAGCTTGGATTCAATTTTGGTGTTAGTAGATAACCCTTAAGTGCGTAACCCGAATCCCCAAGCAGCCATCCATCTACTTGGGTTTCTTCAAAGAAGTAACCCAATTCAGAATTACAAAACATGAATGAATCATGCACACTCCCGGGAAATTTGGCAACAAGATTGGTAAATCTGAAAAATAAAATTCTGCTGATAGAATCAAAAAATGTAGCGCCCCACCCCCTCCTCTTCAAAAATTTCACATTTTATACCCCCCAAAAATCAGTTTTTTTGGTGGGTATATAGGAATCACCCTGTCCGTCTGTCTGTCTTGTAAGCACAACTCCTCCTTAAGGGATGGACGAGACTTTAATCAGTTGTAGTGCACAACCTGAAGATGTGCTTGAAGGAAGATATTTCTGGTCAGAATTATTTCAAGGGAGATAATTGAATTTACTTAATTTTGATATAGCAATAAATGGCAACAGGTCTTGTAAGCGCAACTACTCCTTAACTGAACAATCAATATTGATGAAACTTTATAAAGTATGAGTACCAATGAGACAAAACTAACTTGATTTCTAAATGTTCCAAGGCTGATCAGTACCTTTTTTGATACACAAAATATAGTGCATTGATCAAGACATTCTATACATCCTATCCATGAACATTTCCAGAAATTTATCGATGTAATATATGCTCAGATATTCAAGGCACAAAATGATGTTTCACTTGCCAAGAAAATTACTTAACTTTTGCAAGGTGCAGGAATCTAAAATCTGTTCTAAAAATATAAATGATGTCATTGTTAAACCTCATCTTTAATAAAATTGGAGTCATCTTCCTTTGTCTAGAATAGCTGTTAAATTAACAACCAATGCAATATTTAATTTTACTTCCCACTTATAAATTGAAGCAATCTTTACCGTTCAGTGCTTTCAAGCACTTTGATTAAGTTTACCACTTACATTACATTTGATGCCATAGGTATCGACAATACTTGTTAAAAGACTTTATTCAAGCCTGTAAAAGGGTTGCCATAAGGGGCATCTGTGTTTAATGTTAGATTCGTTTTGATGCAGCTATATATGTAGTGATGCAGATCCAACCACAGAACTGGTGTTGTTTGAAAAAGACTAAATATAGTTTAATTGCTATTACATGTACGTCTAACACAACAACATGAATATTAGCAACGTTTGTTCATTGTACGGATTTGACATTGCAGTAAAGAAAGTTTTAAAAAACAAGATAGATAACGAATGAAAGTAAAACCATATGTGAGCCCCACTTCCTGATTGATGTACGCAATAACCAAAAAAGCAAATGTCAGACAAAAAAATATCCAGAAAGTTGTAAATATAAGACTATTTGTGTTTCTGTTTTCACTTACCTCATCTCGTGATCCACAACTGCTTGGATGTTTAGGGAATGATACCCCTTACGGCAAACATATACTGGCTCATTTTCCTTTGGAGCAATAATCGGGATCAGCGTCCCATCCACAGCACCAATGACATTTGGGACCTTTGCTATATTGTAAAAACCCTTTTTGATTTTACTTAATTCTGCTTTCGTTGTTGGAAATTTAATATTGTCAATATCACGGACTATGGCGTGAGAAACCCTCATGACACATCTTGACACGCTGGCTCGAGAAATTCCATGAAGATCGCCAACTTCAGAATAAAAGTCCCCCTTGGCATAGTATCGAAGAGAAACTAACACCTGAAAGAATATTGAAAAATAATGTTAGATTTAAGACTCATAGAATTTACAATAGCATTCAAATAAGCCACAACTTAATACAATTCTGCTTTTTTTTAGTCTAATCATATGAAATATAAGATTGATTTATCATACAGAAATGTCACGGTTTTTGTCTTGCCTTGACAGAGTCAAAAAGCGAGACATAGGTATGCTGTTTCCGGCGACGGCGGCGGCGGCGTCAACAATGTATTAGTTTGTGATTAGGTCTAGTTCATGGTGAACCACCAGTGGTAGGTCAATGATATTTGGTATGCAGTTGTATTAGCATTGGCACATCTCAATACCATAGAGATTATTTGGCCCCGCCCCCTCAGTCAAGGTCTATTGACTTTGAAACTTTTCATAGTTTACATGTATTAGTTTGTGATTAGGTCAATTTATGGGGAACCACTAGTGGTAGGTCAATGATATTTGGTATGCAGTTGTATAAACATTGGCATATCTCATTTCCATGGAGATTATTTGGCTCCGCCCCCTTAGTCATGGTCTATAGACTTTGAAAATTTTACTAAGTTAACATGTATTAGTTTGTGATTAGGTCAGTTCAAGGGGAACCATTAGTGGTAGGCCAATGTTAATTGGTGTTCAGATGTATATAAGCATTAGCACATCTCATTTCCATGGAGAATATTTGGCCCCGCTCCCTCAGTCATGGTCTATTTACTTTGAAACTTTTGCTTAGTTTACATGTATTAGTTTGTGATAAGATCAGTTTAAGATGAACTGCTAATGTTAAGTCAATGATATTTGGTATGCAAATTTATTGGCATTTGCAAGAATCGTTTCCATGGAGATTATATAGCCCCACCCCTGATCATGGTTCATTGACTTTGAAACTTTTACATAGTTTACAAGTTAATGTTTGTGTTTAGGTTTGTTTAAAGGGAACGACTTATAATAAGTCAATGGTATTTGGTATGCAGTTGTATTAGCATTGGCACATCTCATTCCATGGAGATTGTTTAGCCATGTACCTTCAGTCATGGTTCATCGACTTTGAATATTTGCATAACTTACATGTTAAAGTATTGATATTTTAACTTCAACATTTGCATTATCAAAATTACAAAAAGGCGAGACATATCTCTGTGATGACACTTTATCTTGATACATTTAAGCAGTCCGACTCTAAGACTTCTTTAATGTGCTTACTCAGTCTAAAAGGTTTGATTTAATCATGACCCTATTTCTATAGTTCAGTGGTCAACGTTTATTTTGATTTATAATTTAATCCATTTTTGTATCACATTGGCATAGTCAAAATGCTAGACTTGGGTATGCTGTTTAAGAAGGCGAAATCAGCACCAGTAAGATGATACATATTGTTATTTGAAGAAAATGAATCTTTTTTTCGATCTAAGATGGTTAAAAAGAAGCACCTCAAAGGTCTTATAACCAATTCATCAATGCAAAACTATTCAATGATGGTTGGACTGTCGGTCGACTCGTTCGTAGGTGCATGCGGGTCCATCGGTCACAAACAAATAACTATGCATATCAATCAATATTCGTGGTAAGATTGTTGTTCCAATTCCATATACTAGTGAGCGCCTTGATCTCTTTTGATTAGGGTAAATCATGGTTAATTGAATGCATAATTAAGAAACTTATGTTTGTGAGACAAAATTTACTACAAAAGTTCGCTAAATGGTCCGTTAAAATGTCGTTGTCCTGACTGTGCCTTCGAGTATAAAGATACTAAGCTCTGGTATACGGGATCCGAGGGTCGTTTATGGCCCCCAGCAGGTCCAGGACAGCGCCCGGGGAAGTCTGGGGGTAAAGCCTCAGATATTTAGCAAACAGAGAGGGTAATTTTGAAGTTGAAGTATGCACAGCTGAGTGTTTTGCTATATATCAAATCAAAGACCTGAAACTGACTAAAAAAATCTAAAAACTTTGCAATGCTCGCCAATTTATTATGCTTCAGAGAAAGAAAGTGCTAGAGAACTGGATCATCTCATGACATATATATGTTAACATACGAAAACAAAGCAATTAAAACAATCAATTTTTAATTTGGTGATATATGAATGTGACGTTCGTATGTAAGAGCAGCAGCGGATGAGGGTGGCATGGTGAGAAGTATTTGTAGAATACAGAATATACTTGGGTAAAGTCCGCGTCATCTCCAATGTTGCACAGAGTTGGTCTGGTTTCTTAGATGGATAAATATCCTATCGCGCAACCCATCTTTTAATTTCGAGAAGAAACTGTTTTTTTTTTTTTGCCATTTTGTTTGTGCACGCAAGTGCGTCGTTGCGTCAATGGTAGCTACGCCACTGTATTATACTATAAGCAGTAGTCAGTTGATCAGTTTTTCGTGGTTTGTTCAGTGTTTAGATGCTATGTTTAACAATAGACCAACTATATAATATGTTTTAAAAGTTCATTGTCATCTGAGGGGTCATACATTATGATGTACATGTCAGTCTCGCAGGTTTTATTTGACCTTGACCTCATTTTCACGGTTCATTTCTCAGTGTTTTGGTCTGTTTTTCTTCAACTATAAGCAAAATATCAACTATATTTGTTGTATGTAAGGATTGTAAGGTGTATATGTCTGTCTGGCAGGTATCATCTGACCTTGACCTCATTTTCATGGTTCATTGGTCAATGTTAAGTTTTCATGGTTAAGTTTGTTTCTAAGTTACTATAAGCAATAGGTAAGTTTGTTTCTTAGATACTATAAGCAATAGGTCAACTATATGTAATGCATACATTGATTGTAAGGTGTACATGTCTGTCTGGCATGGTCCATCTGACATTGACCTCATTTTCATGGTTCATTGGTCAATGTTAAGTTTTCTTGGTTAAGACTGTTTCTTAGAAACTATAAGCAATAGGTCAACTATGTTTGGTTTATTGAATGATTGTAAGGTGTACATGTATTTCTTGTTTGGTTTATCTGACCTTGACCTCATTTTCTTGGATCATGTTAAGTTTATGTGTAACTTGTAGTAAAGCTTTATATTTAGGACTATCAGCATAAAATCAATGGTTAGTAAAGAAGGCGAGACATTTCAGCGTGTGCACTCTTGTGTTAGTTTGGTACCAGTATTTGTCAATTAATGACATGTTTTAGCTGCCTAACGTCCTAATGGTGTATTAATAGTAAATACTGCATACTAAATACTTTCCTTTCCTTTAATTTTTCTGCCCTGCCTACGATAAAATAGGGGCATAATGTTTTTAGAGTGATTCAAATTTATATTGTTTAATGCGATGGTGTTTTTTTGTTATGGTTTCTGTTTGTTAATTTTGGCTTGTTTTGTTTTATTGATTAAATTGATTTTTTTTTCTTAACATCTGCATACTATGTTAACTAGAATAAAGAACGGAAACGGGCACTGTGACAACAACCCGACCAAAATGTACAAAACAACTAAAGGTTAACAATGGGTCTTTAACACAGCGATAAATCACCCACTCATACATGTAGGCGAGCATGAGCAGGCTCCGAAACATTAATGTATACTAGATCGGGGAAATGGAATCCATTCTACACTACGAAACAGATTAAAACTGCTCTAAGTTGAATTGTAGATTATCGCTAATTGTTTTTTAGTTTATTATGTATATATTTACACAAGAATGTCATTAATTGTATAACCTTCATTTATCATGCTTTCCTTTAAAATAATGTAAATTTGCAAAAGCCTTCCCCCCACCCCCTTTCCTAAATTACAGAAATTAACTTTTTACATTACATATACAGATATTGGACAAAAGTGAGTTCCAACTCAAAAAATGTTCAATCATTTCAACCAAAATTAAAAGATTTCAAAAAACTATTGCCAAGTAACTACATGACCGATCTTTAAGAAATCACGGGGGGGGGGACTTCGATATTTTTTTGGTAGGGCTGTGCCTGAAAAATGTACCCATTTTTATATAGGAAACACATATTGTAAATATGACCCCTGATTTTGTACACACACACACACACACACACACACACACACACACAAATTAAATGCCACTTACAATTTGTTTCACAGACAATAATCTAAAAATTACCACATCTTTCCATTAATACGAAATTTCCAAAAGTATATTTATATATAGGAAATGTAAAATATACTCCAAATCAATATATTAAGTTAATCAATATAGTAACATATTAAAAAGTAGAGGCATTTTAATATAAAATCTCACAAAATCATGGCCCATATTTTTGGCACATCCCCGTATACCCATTTAAAGGAAGTTGACCCCCCGTGTAAGAAATAAATACCATGAGATGTAGAAATGTTAAAAGTTTCAAAAAGGCTCCTTGTCCGAAAACACATTTTGACAATTAGTCTCGGAAGTACCAATAATTATAGTTAACCATAGCTAGTGCCTAAAAAAATCGATTTTGGTTGAAATGAGAGTGGGAATTCACTTTTGTCCGCTGACTGTATATGTGCTAGGCATGCTCAGTAATTGCTACGGTATAAGATTACATTTTCAATGTTTTCAGAGTCATGAAGTGGAAAATATATGTTAATGCGCGTAGCTACGTTTACGTCAAAACGCCCGGGCGTACACATGAATTTTGGAGAAAAAATATTATAATCTAAATAAATTAAAAGATCTGGCTAAAAGCACATGAGCCATGTAGTTATTTCTCCACTGACTTGTAATTGAAGATAACAGTCGGAAGAAATTTACTTTTTAATCAAATGGTATCATATTATTTATTTGTTCGTTTTCTGTCAAAATCTGAATCTACTGTGAATTATCCTCCCTTTCCTATAGTTTAAAGCAATTCATTATCTGCTGAGATACGATATGCAGTTTTGTCGAGCCTGCGAGACATTCCGTAATCGGCGTTGGCGTCGTCAATATTTATATGATCAGCCTGTGGTTAATTTTTTTTAAAACATCAATAAATTTGCAAAACTTTATGAAATTTTACAGCATATAGGCAGACATTTTTTTATGATCAAAAGAGTATCCAGAGCATACATTTTTTA